CATTGTCTCTAATTCCCACAAAACCCCACAGGATAGGTGTCACCATAGCCATTTTGCAGATTTGGAAAATAACACTCAGGCTGGGACTCAGATCTAGTCCAAACTCCAAAGCCTCTGTTCTTTGTATTGCCTCACACAGGAGAGGAGGGGGTTGGAAGTGCAAGTGGGGGCTGAGAAATCCACCTCCCTTTGGAAGACAGGAAGTCCTAGAGCAGAGCAAATCTGTAAAGACCCGAGGACACATTTCTGTAGCCACAGTACTAACCATGGTGCCTTAGGGTCATGGGCTCGCATGTGCTTGTGTATGTCATCTGAGTTGGCATGACTGTGGACGTTTCTCTGAGTGTGTTAGTACGTGAGTGGTGGTGTGGAAGCATGAGGCTCTGACCATTGATTCAGTACTGACTGCCTGCACATGCTATACCTCTCCTAAATGCTGGAGAATCAGACTAGTTAAGACCTGTCACCACTCTCAAGGAGCCTCCAGTCCAGTGCAGGGGGCAGACACATGAACAAATCAGGGCTGTGCAAGTGATTGTCAGTGTGTACTTAATGCATCAGGAGCCCAGTAGAGAGTATACAACAGACTCTGCACTTGGGGGGCGGGTTACATATGTCAGAGAAGATTCCATAGAATACAGGGCATTTGAACTGGATCTTGATATCTGAGTAGGAGATGGTCACATAGAATTTTTAGAGGATATCTTAGGGCAAGAGAATAGCTCAGACAAGGCAAGTAGTTGGGAAGGGGCATGGTAATAGGCTTAGTGTTGTTGGAATGGTAAGTATGGTTGGAGTAGTAAAGATAGGGGACAATGGAAAAGTTGTCCAGGCTCAGATAGTGAAGACACATTAAGAAGGTTGGACTTTATCTTGTAGGTCAGAAGTTCTAAACCTAGTGTCCATTAACCCCTTAATACTGGAGGCACAAGTTTGTGTGTATGTTTATCTGCTTTTTTTTTTTTTTCCTGTAGTGGGGCAGCAGTTTTCTGCTGTTGTAATGGGGAATCAGTGGAAACCTTTCATCAGGAGTTGTTTGGTGAGAATTGTGCAGGTATCTTTGGTCAGGTGGAGGTGGATCACTGAACTCAAGCCAGGAGGCAAGGGTACCAGTAAGGAGCTGTTGCAGGAATTGAAAGGAGAGATGACCGTACTTTGGGACAGCAGCAGTGCAGCAAGAGAGAAAAGGACAGATATGAGACATGTCTAGTTGAAATGGTCCTATTTTGATAACTAATTAGAAATCAGGACAATCTGGGCTAAAGGAAGGAAGCAAGGAGAGCTTCTGGATTTCTGGCTTAGATACCTGGGTGGATGGTGGTGCTGTTCACAGGAAACGGAACAGAGAAGGAAATCAATTTGAAGTGATGAAATCCAGTATATGGCTGGACATGTGTCTCCAGAGCTCTCCAGAGCCAGAGCTGGAAGTCAGAAAGTGATCAGCAAATAGATGGCACACAAAAAATAATTGATATGTTTGAATCAAAGGCATGGGAGTAGATAAGATAACCCAGGCAGAGTGTGGAGAGTGGGAAGAAATGCAGCCCAGGACTGAGCCCTAAAGAGTGCCAATTGTGAAGGGGTGGGAGGAGGAAGGAGAACTTGCACAGGAGATTGAGGAGTGGACAGGTGATGGAGTTTGGATGTGTTGTCACCTCCAAAACTCATGTGGAAATCTGATCCCCAATGTGGCAGTGTTGGAAACTGTTTGAATCATGGGGGTGGATCCCTCAAGAATGGATTAGTGCTCTCCCTAAGTGGGGGGAAGTAATGAGTGAGTTCTAGCTGTATTAGTTCCCATGAGAGCTGGTTGTTTATAGGACCCTGGCACTTCCCCCCCTCCCCTCTCTCGCTTCCTCTCGCCATGTGATCTGCTTGTACCTGCCGGCTGCCTGCCACTTTCTGCCATGAACAGAAGCAGCCTGAGGCCCATGCCAGATGCAGCTGTCCCAGAATCGTAAGCCAAATAAACCTCTGTTCTTTATAAATTACCCAGTCTCAGGGAATTCTGTTATAGCAACACAAAACAGACTAAAACAACAGAGAAGCAAGAGGTGGTGTCACCATGTGAAGCCCTGAGCAGTAGGCTTCAAGGAGCCAGTGGTCAGTGGTTCAGTGTTCCAGAATGACCCAGAAGAGGAAGATTAAAAGAGTGTCCATTGCATGTAGAACACGGAAATGACTGTAAGCTTAGTGACAGCAATGTCATGAGAGGAAGCCTCACTGCATAGAGTGAGAAGCAAGAAAATGGGGGAAATGAAACAACATTTTCGAGACGGTGGTAGCTTCTCAATGTTCCTATTCTCTGCTGCAAGTATCTCCCTTCTTCAGCCTCTGCTCCCACCTCTCTGCTGATTCTGCTCTCATTTAGTCACTAAAGGCCTCTGTGGGGCTTTAATCCTTCTCCTTATTGAAATTTAGCAGCATTTGAAACCTTGGCTCTTCTTTTTTTTTTTTTTTTTTTTCTTTTTTTTTTTTTTTTTCTTTTTTTTTTTTTTTTTCTTTTTTTTTTTTTTTTTCCTTTTTGTCTTTTTTACTGACCGGTAATGGGATCGCAACCCTCGGTGTTGTGCCCGCACCACCCTCAGCCAGCGAGCGGGAACCGGTCTCCACATGGGATCCGAACCCTCAGCGGGAGCGCCGCCACACTCCCAAGCCGCGCACTTCTCCAGTGCGCCAACGGGCCGGCCCGAAACCTTGGCTCTTCTTTTTTTTTTTTTTTTTCCTTTTTGTCTTTTTTACTGACCGGTAATGGGATCGCAACCCTCGGTGTTGTGCCCGCACCACCCTCAGCCAGCGAGCGGGAACCGGTCTCCACATGGGATCCGAACCCTCAGCGGGAGCGCCGCCACACTCCCAAGCCGCGCACTTCTCCAGTGCGCCAACGGGCCGGCCCGAAACCTTGGCTCTTCTTTTTTTTTTTTTTTTTCCTTTTTGTCTTTTTTACTGACCGGTAATGGGATCGCAACCCTCGGTGTTGTGCCCGCACCACCCTCAGCCAGCGAGCGGGAACCGGTCTCCACATGGGATCCGAACCCTCAGCGGGAGCGCCGCCACACTCCCAAGCCGCGCACTTCTCCAGTGCGCCAACGGGCCGGCCCGAAACCTTGGCTCTTCTTTTTTTTTTTTTTTTTCCTTTTTGTCTTTTTTACTGACCGGTAATGGGATCGCAACCCTCGGTGTTGTGCCCGCACCACCCTCAGCCAGCGAGCGGGAACCGGTCTCCACATGGGATCCGAACCCTCAGCGGGAGCGCCGCCACACTCCCAAGCGGCGCACTTCTCCAGTGCGCCAACGGGCTGGCCCGAAACCTTGGCTCTTCTTAGACTCAGAGGCACCACCCCTCTCTGGATCTCTCTCTCTCACTGGTCAGTTAAGGACACCTTTGTCCAGCTGGTAGTTCAGGCCAGAAATCTGCCCACCATCCTTGACTTTTTTTTCTACCCCCTCATCCTCTGCCTTCAAGCAGCCATCAAGCCCTGCCTATTCTACTGCATAACCCCCTGCAGACCTATCCACTTCTCACTATTTTCATTGCTAACACTCATCCAAGTCACCATCAAAGCAATGTCATTGCCTGGACTCCCACAAGTGCCTCCCAATCATCCTATCTGCATGTTCTTTGTTTCACAAAGGGCATCAACAGTGATCTTCACAAAAAGTAAGTCATATCATGGCACTCCCCCTTGGGATGCCTTAGTGGCTTCCATTTGCCCTTAGGACAATTTCGAAATATTCAGTATGGCTTATGAGTCCCTGCCTCATTTCATACCTCTGCCCCTAGGACTACACATCACATGTTGCCCCCTGCCCCACTGAAGACAGTCTCAGCCCTTCCTTGACTGTGGGCTCTAAGCCTTGCCACATTCTGTTTACTCTTCTAAAATACTGTTCTGTTTTTCCCCCTTCTCTGCCCATCATTGCCTGGCTAACATCTACTCTTTATTTAGATCTCACTTGAACACCACTTCCTCAGAAAAGCTCTCCCTGGCTCCCTGTGTTAAGTCCCTCTTATATGTTCTCCTTGCTACCTGTACTTCTCCTTCACAGCCCTTATCACTTTTGTAATGATTTGTTCAACACCTGGACTGTAAGCTGCATGAAGCCAGGGACTGTTTCCTTTAGTTACTCTTGTATCCCTGGCACCTCCCACAGTAGGTGCTCAGTTTCTTGATGAATGGAGAGGGAAGTAAGGCTAAGGGAATATGTGTGTGTGTGTGTGTGTGTGTGTGTGTATACACACACACAAAATAAGAGAGACTCGAGCTTATTTAAATACTGATAGAAGGCTCTAGCAGAGTGGAAAAGCTTGACGGTTCAGGCAAGGTTACCAAATTCATGGTTACTGAGGCTGGAAGGGATAAAAAGAAAATGAGAAAGGATTGGTCATATTTTTTTTTTTTTTCAAAAAAAGATGACCGGTAAGGGGATCTTAACCCTTGACTTGGTGTTGTCAGCACCACGCTCACCCAGTGAGCAAACCGGCCATCCCTATATAGGATCCGAACCCATGGCCTTGGTGTTGTCAGCACCGCACTCTCCCGAGTGAGCCACGGGGCCAGCCCAGGATTGGTCATATTTTTAAGTCTAGACATAGAAGGAAGGGAGTTTGTGGGCATCCAGACCTGAAAAGTAGGGAGCAGAATAAACTGCTGAGAGATTGGGGGTCAGGGAGGATGGGGCCTGCCAGGGGAAGGACTGGAGCAGGCCCTGAGGAGTCCTGAAGCTGAGATTCCAGGGGCCTGAGATGGGTGTGAGGCAGCATGAGGGTCCTGCTGGGGGACTGAGCACTTCTAAGTTTTGATGTGATCTGCAGCCCAGTCTCTCTGGACCGTTGATCTCTCCCCTGTCATTACCTTTTCCCTTCTGCTATTCTCCCAGGTCAGGGAGCCTGAGCTGGAACCAGGGCCCAAGTTGGCCTGATCCAAGGCTTGAGATCAAGCTGGGCCCAGAGCCTGGCCTGGAGCTGGAGCCCACTCCACAGCTGGACTGCCCCTGTCATGCGGAAGGAGCTGGGCATTGCGCCTTTCTGCCCTGGCATGAAGAGCCCCAGGCCCCTACTCCTGCGACCATTGTTGCTGCTACAGCTGCTGCTGCTGGGGGCTGGGGTGCCAGGCGCCTGGGGTCAGGCTGGGAGCCTGGACCTGCTGATCGATGAGGAGCAGCCAGCAGGCACATTAATTGGGGACATCAGTGCAGGGCTTCCAGCAGGCACAGCAGCACCTCCCATGTACTTTATCTCTGCCCAGGAGGGCAGCGGCGTGGGCACGGACCTGGCCATTGATGAACACAGTGGGGTTGTCCGTACAGCCCGTGTCTTGGACCGTGAGCGGCGGGACCGCTACCGTTTCACTGCAGTCACTCCTGACGGTGCTACCGTGGAAGTTACAGTGCGAGTGGCTGACATCAATGACCACGCTCCAGCCTTCCCACAGGCTCAGGCTGCACTGCAGGTACCTGAGCATATAGCTCTTGGAACCCGTTACCCGCTGCAGCCTGCTCATGATGCAGATGCTGGCCACCTAGGAACCCAGGGCTATGCGCTCTCTGGTGATGGGGCTGGAGAGACCTTCCAGTTGGAGACACGTCCTGGCCCTGACGGGGCTCCAGTGCCTGAGCTGGTAGTTACTGGGGAGCTGGACCGAGAGAACCGCTCACACTACATGTTGCAGCTGGAGGCCTATGATGGCGGTTCGCCCCCACGGAGGGCCCAGGCCCTGCTGGAGGTGACACTGCTGGACATCAATGACCATGCCCCTGCTTTCAATCAGAGCCGCTACCACACTGAGGTTTCTGAGAGCCTGGCCCCTGGCAGTCCTGTCTTGCAGGTGTTTGCATCTGATGCTGATGCTGGTGCCAATGGAGCTGTGACTTATGAGATCAATCGGAGGCAGAGTGAGGGTGATGGACCCTTTTCCATTGATGCACACTCAGGACTGCTGCGCCTGGAGCGGCCACTGGACTTTGAGCAACGGCGGGTCCATGAACTGGTGGTGCAAGCACGGGATGGTGGAGCACACCCTGAGCTGGGCTCGGCCTTTGTGACTGTGCACGTGAGAGATGCAAATGACAATCAACCCTCCATGACTGTCATCTTCCTGAGTGCAGACGGCTCCCCCCGAGTGTCTGAGGCTGCTCCACCTGGACAGCTAGTTGCCCGTATCTCCGTGTCAGACCCAGATGATGGGGACTTTGCCCATGTCAACGTGTCCCTGGAGGGTGGAGAAGGCCACTTTGCCCTAAGCACCCAAGACAGCGTCATTTACCTGGTATGCGTGGCTCGGCGGCTGGATCGGGAGGAGAGGGATGTCTATAACTTGCGGGTTACAGCCACAGACTCAGGCTCACCCCCTTTGCGAGCTGAGGCTGCCTTTGTGCTGCACATCACTGATGTCAATGACAATGTGCCTGTCTTTGACCGCCAGCTCTACCGACCCGAGCCCCTGCCTGAGGTTGCGCTGCCTGGCAGCTTTGTGGTGCGGGTGACTGCCCGGGATCCTGACCAAGGCACCAATGGTCAGGTCACCTATACCCTGGCTCCCGGTGCTCACACCCACTGGTTCTCCATTGACCCCACCTCAGGCATCATCACCACGGCTGCCTTGCTGGACTATGAGTTGGAACCTCAGCCACAGCTGATTGTGGTGGCCACAGATGGAGGCCTGCCCCCTCTAGCCTCCTCTGCCACAGTTAGCGTGGCCCTGCAGGATGTGAATGATAATGAGCCCCAGTTCCAAAGAACTTTCTACAATGCCTCGCTGCCTGAGGGTACCCAGCCTGGAACCTGCTTCCTGCAGGTAGGTAGGCCTGCACACAACATGATATGCTGTGGGCAGGGGCGGGTCTGAGGCTACAGGGGACCTCAGAACAGGACCTAAGTTTTGCAGGTGCATCTATTGATGGTGACTTATGCTGGAGGGTTTGGTCCTATCCTGTGAACTCTAAAGTCTGTGCAGAGGACGAGGGTTAAGAGAAGATGAAAAAGCAGGATGCAAGAGCTGAAGCAGGCAATCTTGGCAATCGGGGGAATTAAGATTGGATCTAGAAGAAAAGTTCTGGTGGTGTCAGGAATTGAAAGAGATTGTGTAAAGAGTTGTTCTGCAGGGCAGAGATGGAGATCCTGCACACCCAGGCTTCAGTTCCAAAAAGGAAATGCCAGCATTTATAGAGCCTTCCACACCTAGTCCACTGCTGGGGTGTTCTGGAAGAAATCTCATCCCTGCCCTCGGAACTCAGCCTTGATGGGACACTTAGGCTCAAGCACAAGGATGATAGAAAACAAGAATTATCCAGTGAGATCCTGATGTCTAGAGTAGGAGAGCCTCTCAGAGAAAGAGGCAAGGCTTAGAGAGGCACAGACTGGCTGAAAGTCAGGCCTGGAAGAGATGGAGGGAACATGAAACTGGAGAGGCAGACTAAGACCAGATTGAAGAAGTCCGTGGACACCAAGCTGTGAAGGGTTAGGACTTTACTTGGAAAGCCAAGGAGGTCACTGAACTTCTTTTGAGCTGGGAAGAGCATGATCAGATTTTTTTTTTAAAGTTAGTTAGCTGACTGGTTTTAAGAGTAAAGGCTGGATTTGGTCAGCAGGTTAGTGATAGATCATTCCTTCATTAATACATTCAACAATTAACTTACCCACTGTAAGCCTGGCACTGTGCTGGGTACACAGAACAAAGAAAGGAGACAGTCCTGTCTCCAGATAGGTCCCTGTGCTCCAGCAGGTAGCATGTGAAGTGCTATGGAAGCCTGGAGGAAGGGCCTTGGAGAGCAAATGAGACTTTGCCAAATGGATAAAATGGGGTGTGTGGACAGAGACTCCAGGCTTATAGAAAGGGCTGCTGAACAACACCATGATGTATTCAGGAGACTGCAATGTTCAGGTTGGCCTCCACTGCACCGATAAGAAAGCAAGGTAGTAGACAGGGCCCAAGTCACAAGTTTTTACTTTATCTTAAAAATTATAGGGAGCCAATGAGAGACTCTAAGCAAGTTTTATATATCTTTTGGAAAGATTGCTTTGGCTACACCATGGAGTAAGGCTGCAGTAGAGAAGCCTGGAAGTAGGGAGTCCTCTTAGGAGATTGGTGCTTGAAGTCCTTATGTTTCCAAAGTCCACCAGACTCCTCAGCATCTCCTCAGGGGCTGCCTGTTGGCCTAAACTTTCAGACCAGTGCTGGGCCTGGCTGACGCCTTGTCTTCTGGCCAGAGCCTGGATATTTGCCTGCCTGCTGCTCTACAGCTCCCACCACCCACTCTCCCATGTGTTTACTCTCCCTCTTGGCCGGGATCAATGGACTATGGCTTCCAAACTTCTTCCTTCCTCACTAGTGCCTGAAGCAAGAGGGCAACTCTCCAGGTGGTTTCCTGGAGTTTTTACTATTAGTAACTATAGGGAAGCCAGGGTAAAAATGACCATTGGGGGTTCATAACTGTTACAAGAAGTCTTAGTGTTTGATTTATTCAATATACACGTGCCAGTCACTGTTTTCGGGATATGGAATATAATGATGAATGAGTCACACACACCTCCTCTGTATCTCACAGAATTTATAGTCTAGAGGGGAGATTCATTGGCAAATAAACAGTTTTATTGCAGTAAGAAAACTTCCATGGTGGAGATATATATGAGGTACAGATAGGCAGTATGTTTTCCCAAAGGAAGGGACCCTTGAATTGAGACTTAAAGAATGAGAAGGAGTTTATGAGGGCACCAGATGGAGGAAGAATTCCAAGCAGAGGTGACATGCACAGAGGAGTAGGAGAAGCCAGACTTGTTCAAGGGCCTACAAGTGGCTCAGTATCTCCAGAGTTTAAGATGGGAGATGGGAGAGTGGGAGATGAGATTGTGCAGGGAGGCCAGACAGAGAGGAGCCAAGCCAACCTGAGGAGTTTGAGCTTTTCTCTGTAGGGAACATTGAAGATTTTTTTAGTACAAAAGTATAGATTTGTTTTCTCAAATGTTAGTCAATGTAGAACAGTGGTTCACAACTGGGGGCAATTTTACACCCCCCACCCCCGTAGAAAGGATGTCTAGCAATTAGCAATGTCTAGAGACATTTTTGATAGTCACAACTGGTGGGATGCTACTGTCATCTAGTGGGTAGAGACCAGGAATGCTGCTAGCCATCCTATAATGCACATGACAGCACCCACAATAAAGAATTATCTGGTCCAAAATGTCAGTAGTGCCAAGGTGGAGAAACCCTGGTATAGAGTACAGATTGGAGGGCCAGACACCTAGAAGAAGGGAATTAGAAGAGTTCAGGGAAGAGATGACTCAGACCCAAGTCAGGACAGTGATAATGGTGATGGTGAGGAATAGATAAATAAGAAAGATAATGAGGACTTACTTAGTCCTTGGTTGACTGATATACCAGGTAAGGAAAAGGGAAGAACAGATTTCTGGCTCAAGAACTTGTGTGGATGAGAGAGTCATTAGAGCAGGTTTGGAATGATCATGAGTTTAGTTTTGGACAGGTTGGCTTTAAGCTGCCTCCACAAGTGGCCTTTAAGGTGACCTCCACAGGTCATCCAAGTGGAGACGTTGAGCATGCACCTGATATACAAGTTTGGAGCTCAGAGGGCTGGTCCTGGATGAAAGTAGAGATGATGGCCAAAGCCACAGAAGTGAGAGAGAAGGCCCTGAGAGGGTGTTTACAGTGAGAAGAGGCCAAGAAGAGATTTCAGGGAATGACAATGTGTAAGAACAGGCAGAGTAAGGGGAGATGGAGAAAGACTTGGCAGTGGCAAAGCAGTGGGAGGAGAAGTAGGAGAATGTCGTGTCAGGAAGTCTAAGCAGGAGGTCCACCTGGGAAGGAGGTCAGGCTAGACAGATGCAGTAAGTTTGGAGTTTGGTGGGAATTTTAGAGTTCACAGATAAGGGTCTTACTTTCCTCCTTGAAATTGTGCATCTGATGAGAGTGTGGGGGGGCGGATGGGGGCCAGAGGAGAGGGGTGAGGGTTGTTACAGTTTTGGGTTGGCATGGGAGAGACCAAGGTTGGACTGAGAAGCTGAGCTGAGAACCTGTTGAAAATGGAGACTGCATTTGCAGTGAAACCTCTGAGCGGAGGCTGTATAGGCCAGGAAATTCACTTCTGCCTTGGTCATTTCCAGTCAATGGCCCCTGCGCCTTTTGGGGTCACATCCTGACAGCTTCCCCTGACCACTGTTTATTGCTTTCTTCCTGCAGCAAGTCAGAGGGCAAAGGTCTTTAACAGCTTCTGGAGATGGTGCTGCAGCTGTGCTGCTGTGCACTGGGATTGATGCAGGGGGAAGTCTGTCTTCTGGGATATCCAGGCCCACAGCCATAGTAAAGAGTTGGAGGAGGAGCTGTTTCCAGCATTCAGCCATGGCAGGGTCTTAGTGTCTCTCAGGAGGGTAAACAATGGCACAGATCACTTCTGTCAAGGGCCTGGGCCTGGGCAACAATCAGAAATCTTTGGCCAGCTTTCTCTCTGAGCACATTTTCTGGCTGGGAAAGGGGAACTCTCCAGCTTCCACTTACAGAATATCATGACCTTGAGGTCCTTATATCCACAAAGAGCACTTTGTCACAAGCTGCAGCAGCCAGCACTAGCTAACCCACTATTGAGGGCCTAATGTGTACCCAATGTATAAAACTTAGTATGAAAGAAGTTTTTGTTACAAAGCAGAGTGATCAGAATGTCCATTTATTCAATGAACAAATATGCACAGAGCACCTACTGTGTACCTGGTCCTAGGCTAAAGGTGCATGAACCACACCCATAAATCTGTAGAGCAGACCCTACAGTGATCAGATCCCGGTATTAATCAGAACCCACTCTGTAATGATCAAACTCAATAAAGATCAGACTTGTAAACACAGTCTCAATAATTATATGGGTCAGTCAGTTCTCTGCATGGGATGATTATGAGACTTGATGAGGATACTAACTTCCTGTGATCTACCTGCAATTTGAAGTCACAGCCCTTAGCACTTTCCTTTGTCAGTACAGTTGGTCCTCATTATTTGTGAATTCACTTACTCTCTAAAATTTATTTGTAACCCCAAAATCAATACATGTAGCACTCTTGCAGTCATTCCTGGACATGTGCAAAGTGATGAGAAATTTGAGTCTCCCAGTGAGCCCCTTCCCAGCTGAGATTGAAAAGGGGAGTGCTCTGTCTTCTTGTTTCAGCTCTCATACTATAAACAAGTGTCCTTTTTTGAGGTTTATTTAATGCCATGTTTTCTGCATTTTTGTGGATTTTGTTGGTGATTTTGCTGTTTAAAATGGCCCCCAAGCATAGTGCCGAAGTGCTGTCTAGTGTTCCTAAATGCAAGAAGGCTGTGATGTGCCTTATGGAGAAAATAGATAAGCTTTATTCAGGCATGATTTATATTGCTACTGGCCATGAGTTCAATGTTGATTAATCAACAATATATATTAAATAAGATGTCTTTAAACAGAAACATACATCTAACATGGTTATATATTGGCTAGTTGACAAAAATGTTGTGACTAGAGGCTCTCAGGAACCTAACCAAGTGGTAAGGTCTAGGCTGGGGTTGGGTTTTGGCCCATGTACTACTAACTACTAATCCCCTCTGTGTGTCCACCATCCAGAGAGTCTGGACACTAGCTGCTCCTTCTAATCACCACTTACCTCTGACATTTCTGGCCAACAAGAGGGGCACCACTCACCCCAGCCTCTCCCCAGGTGACGGCCACAGATGCGGATAGTGGCCCATTTGGCCTCCTCTCCTATTCCTTGGGTGCTGGACTTGGGGCCTCTGGGTCTCCCCCATTCCGCATTGATGCCCACAGTGGTGATGTGTGCACGACCCGGACCCTGGACCGAGACCATGGGCCCCCGAGCTTCGACTTCACAGTGACTGCTGTGGATGGGGTGAGTGAGCAGAGCATGGGCAGGTTGGGCTGTTGGGGTGGGGCACTCAGCAGGGTCAGAGAAGGCTCACCTGACTTTTATGACTGTATGTCCTGCCAGGGAGGCCTCAAGTCCATGGTGTATGTGAAGGTGTTTGTGTCAGATGAGAATGACAACCCACCTCAGTTTTATCCACGGGAATATGCTGCCAGTCTGAGTGCCCAGAGTACACCAGGCACAGCTGTGCTGAGGGTGCGTGCCCATGATCCTGACCAAGGGCCCCATGGGCGACTCTCCTACCACATCCTGGCTGGCAATAGCCCCCCACTTTTTGCCTTGGATGAGCACTCAGGTGAGGATCCTGCCATTCCCAGGGTCTGCTCCCAGGCCCCCTCCCCACGTGCCTGAATGATGTATTGCCTCCCCCTCCCAAAACCCTTCCAGCCCTATTCTGTTACCTTATATATCTCTGCTTCTATCCCTCCTCCCAGGGCTGTTGACAGTAGCCTGGCCCTTAGCAAGATGGGCCAACTCTGTGGTGCAGCTGGAGATCGGGGCTCAGGATGGAGGTGGTCTGCAGGCAGAACCCAGTGCCCGAGTCAACATCAGCATTATTCCTGGAACCCCCACACCACCCATATTTGAGCAACTACAGTATGTTTTTTCTGTGCCAGAGGATGTGGCACCAGGAACCAGTGTGGGCATTGTCCAGGCACACAACCCACCAGGTATCATTTTCGTATTATGCCCACTTGGTGCCACACCGAGATAGCCCAATATAATCCTTCAGCACTATCTTAAAGTACCCTAGAGTTTCACACCACAGATAGCCCCAAAACAAAACACTTTGTTACCAATACCCAACACCTCCTTAGGCACAGTGCTTCGTCCCTAGGCAAATGGATATCACCCCAGTGCCAACCAACTTCTCTGCCAATACCTGCCTCTCCTAATACTTCAAAAGGCATGGGTGTGGGCACTGTTCAACCCTTCTTGGGATCAGAGTCTGGGCCCCTACTCAGCAGGTGCTCCCTTACCTCTTTCCTGATGCCTCTCTCCTCTTCCCTAGGTCGCTTGGGGCCGGTGATCCTCACCCTAGCAGGCGGGGATCCCAAGGGACTCTTCTCTCTAGATGCAGTCTCAGGGCTGTTACAAACACTTCACCCTCTGGACCGGGAGCTGCTGGGACCAGCACTTGAGCTGGAGGTGCGAGCAGGAAGTGGCATGCCCCCAGCTTTTGCTGTAGCTCGGGTGCGTGTGCTGCTGGATGATGTGAATGACAACTCCCCGGCCTTCCCTGCACCTGAAGACACGGTATTGCTGCCACCAAACACTGGCCCTGGGACTCCTATCTATACACTGCGAGCTTTGGATCCCGACTCAGGTGTTAACAGTCGTGTCACCTTTACTCTGCTTGCCGGGGGTGGTGGGGCCTTCACGGTGGACCCCACCACAGGCCATGTACGGCTTATGGGACCTCTGGGGCCTCCAGGAGGGCCAGCCTATGAGCTGGAGCTGGAGGCCCGGGATGGGGGCTCCCCACCACGCACCAGCCACTTTCGACTGCGGGTGGTGGTTCAGGACTTGGGGACCCGTGGGCTGGCTCCTCGGTTTGACAGCCTTACCTACCGTGTGGACCTGCCCTCAGGCACCACCCCTGGAACTCAGGTCCTGCAAGTGCAGGCCCAGGCACCAGATGGGAGCCCTATCACCTATCACCTTGCAGCAGATGGAGCAAGTAGCCCCTTTGGCCTGGAACCACAGAGTGGGTGGCTATGGGTACGGGCAGCGCTGGACCGTGAGTCCCAGGAGTTATATACACTGAAGGTAATGGCAGTGTCTGGGTCCAAACCTGAGTTGGGACAGCAGACAGGCACAGCCACCGTGAGGGTCAGCATCCTCAACCAAAATGACTACAGTCCCCGCTTGTCTGAGGAGCCCACTTTCCTGGCTGTGGCTGAGAACCAGCCCCCAGGGAGCAGTGTGGGCCGGGTCTTTGCCACTGACCGAGACTCCGGGCCCAATGGACGTCTGACCTACAGCCTGCGACAGCTGTCAGAAGACAGCAAGGCCTTCCGCATCCACCCCCAGACTGGTGAGCACTGGAACCCAAATTCTGAGACCCCCACAACCTCATCCCCAGATTGGTGAATACTGAAATAGGATACCCAACCTCCAGCCCAGATCCTGGTTTTGAGGACCAGGACTCTTCCTGGAGTTTGGCCCTGGCATTCCCTCCCATATTCCCCATACCCCAGCTTCTAAGCCATAGGCCTCAGGCTCTGCATCTCTAAGTATCCCATACGTGATGTCCGTCCTACACTCTCAGGAGAAGTGACCACTCTCCAAACCCTGGACCGTGAGCAGCAGAGCAGCTACCAGCTCCTGGTGCAGGTGCAGGACGGAGGAAGCCCACCTCGCAGCACAACAGGCACCGTGCATATTGTAGTGCTCGACCTCAATGACAACAGCCCCACCTTCCTGCAGGCTTCAGGGGCTGCTGGTGGGGGCCTCCCTATACAGGTATGTGAAGTGGCAGGACCAAGGCCTGAAGGAGTGTGAGGGAGTGGGGGTCTCCCCATAGAGCTGTAGGTATAGGTAAGAGACTGCCTCCTAGAACAGTTGTGAGAGCAAAAAAGAAAGGGCTCTGCCTGCACACAAGTGAGTTGTATCCCCACAGGTACCAGACCGTGTGCCTCCAGGAACACTGGTGACGACTCTTCAGGCCAAGGATCCAGATGAAGGGGAGAACGGGACCATCTTGTACACGCTAACTGGTATGGGGGTGGAAAAAGGGAGTTGGTGAGTGATGGCATGCCCTCGTGGCCTGCCTACCTTGGGCCCCAAGCCCTCATCCTTTCTCTGCCTGACCCCAGGTCCTGGCTCAGAGCTCTTCTCTCTACACCCTCACTCTGGGGAGCTGCTCACTGCAGCACCTCTGATCCGAGCAGAGCGGCCCCACTATGTGTTGACACTGAGTGCTCATGACCAAGGCAGCCCCCCTCGAAGTGCCAGTCTCCAGCTGCTGGTGCAGGTACGTCTGCCCTTCCTACAGTCTACCCACTTCTCCTTGTCTGCCGCCGTAGGCCCCCCCCCCTCCAGTAGCTCCAGCTTCATGAGGTCCTTGGGCCCTCTAGTCAGACTACGCTGATCAACCTTCCCTACTATTCAGGGAGCCAGCCCAGACCCCCTTTTACATGGGTCCTCCTGATTCCTTCCTCCCATCTCGTCCACAATAGGTGCTTCCCTCAGCTCGTTTAGCCGAGTTGCCGCCGGATTTTTCAGAACCGGACCCGACGGCGCCAGTGCCTGTCGTGCTGACGGTGACAGCAGCCGAGGGGCTTCGGCCTGGCTCCCTGCTGGGCTCGGTGGCGCCGCCAGATCCGGCGGGGGTGGGCGCTCTCACCTACACACTGGTGGGCGGCGCCGATCCCGAGGGCACCTTTGCACTGGACGCGGCCTCAGGG